TTTTATTACGTTTGCTGTTATATTTTTCCGTCGTGTGAAAAGTTTTACTACGTCGAAATATTTTAAAAGGCGTCGTTAAAGGTCTGAATCTGGAATCCATGCTCTGTTTTTTGTAATTATATCATAAGACGTCGGTGGATTATTATTGACGTCGTGTTAATATATTAATAACGTCGTCTTAAATATTATATTATGTCGATTGTTATGTTATTGAGTCGTGTGAAATATTATATTACGTCTATTTTTTTTATAAATAACCGTCGTTTGTTTCCTTATTCTGACTTTTTATTATGTCTTTTTGTTAGGATGATTTGCAAAAGCAAGTCTCTGAAGGCACAATTTCTCTGTCAGGATCCAATGATGTTTTGACAATGGCTTTGGGTCCCGAGCATCCAGGAGGAGTTAGAGGTGTAGGGGCTGGGGTTTCCCCTAAGCAATACTTCAACTTACCTAGACAACAGAAGGTTAGGTTTGCTGATCAATTGAAGGAAAGTGTAAGACTTGTCCTTCAAGAAGAGACTTTGAAAATGGAGGCTAGATCAAGGGAAGAGAGTTTAAAGATGGAGGCTAGGACGAAGCAATTGGTAGAAGCTGAGAGGGAAAATTTGCTGAGTCAGCTTTCAAAAATCATCCCCAATTTTGATCCAAGCCTGCTGAAACTGAATACATTGTCCCAAATCCAAGGGCAAAGTCCCAAAAATCCAATGTCTGACAAAGCAAGCTGTTCTGGGGCACTTGATGTTAGAGCCCTACAATTTGAGGAGGATACTGCCAAGAATGGGGAACAGCAGGAGGAAATGGTAACGTCTTTGAACTTTGAATTCTCTGTTTCTCTGTTTATATATACTACCCCTGGTCTCAAACCCTTCCACATCCTACACTCTTCTATATCTCCACTCACAGGTTCTAACAAACAGAGTTTACAAAATACTAACAATAACAATAAGATGACAAGCATCAAACATGCCTTCTAAACCAAGAGATAACCTAGTTCAAATATTAGTCTTGTTATAGTGCGAAAAAACATGCAAGGAGACAGTTTGTTTATCACTAATTGCGATATTAAGTTTCTTTCCTTGAGCATCCCAATGGGACGCAGTGTGCGCAGAGAATTATAAAACTGATAATATTAATCCATGTAGTAGGCATGACTATCTATTTATGACCTATGAGATGAAACTTGTTACTATGAAGATTGATCATTTACTACATTACGATAATCGAAACTGAACCAGTTACCTGGTTGGAGTTCCAGAAGTGTAGAGCGGGTTCTTCACGACATATTCCACATACAAGTTGTAAATGTACTTCAAAGATTCACGCAAGTCGCCGGTCCTGGGATGAGTAACCAAGATAATCTGCAGTGCACACACAAACACAAAACAAAGAGTAAGAAAGCAGCAGCGCATTAAGAATGAATCTAATTGTATGACAATTTGGTATACACAAACACAACCACGCATGTCCAAATTTCTAAGCTAAGCACAAATTCAAGTTCAAGAATGTAATTGAGTGAGAGGAGAGGCCTTTCTTTCCGATCCTAAATCGCTAGATCTAATACTAGAGAATTGCCAACAGAAGCAGCAAATATTTCATATTCATATTCATATTCATATTCAATCAAACCATGATTCTTAATTTCAAGATCTGAAATAAAAAATAAAAAAAATAAAAAATAAAAAATAAAAGAAGTAGAAAACTGAAAAAGCTAACCTTAATGCCAGAAGGGGATTCCATGAAAGTAAGCTTGTAGGTATTGGTGCGGAAGCTGTGGAAGGAACAGCCTTAGCCGGGCAGCTGAGGGACGCAGAGATTGGCCTACAAGAACCCCCTCAACAAACCCTAACATCGACTGCATAGAGAGAGAGAGAGAGAGAGAGAGAGAGAGAGAGAGAGAGATGCTTAGGTTTACGCGACAGAGGGAGAAAGAGAGGGGTGGTGGTCATGGAGCGACAATGGAGAGAGAAAGCGAAGAGAGAGCTGCGGGGGAGAGAAGAGTGAGGGCAATCAGTGGGCAATAAGTATCCATTTAGATGAAGGGTAGCTTCGTACTTTCCAGTATCAAAGTGATTATATCAGACTAAAGTTTGTAAAGTGATTATATGAGAATAGACCTGGCAATATCATACGAAACACGATAACACGACACGAATTCGCAAAAAAAAATTCAGTATTCGTGTTCGTGTTATCGTGTCGTGTTGCTATCGTGTCAACCCGTTAGCCACACGATAAGCTAACGGGTCGTTTCAGTGTCCATTCGCGAAAACACGAACCAACCCGTTAAGCAGGGGTAGTTTTGTAATTGTCTATTCTAAAATCCTTACCAACCCTAGCACAATAGCATTCTGCTTCTCATTCATTCCGCCGCACACTCACAATCACAGTTCACTTTCTCTCTCTCTCTCAAAACCTCATCTTCTTCTCTTCCTACGATCTCTCTCAAACTTTCTCTCTGTCAATCATCATTTCTCTTCTGAGACTGAAATACTCTCTCAAGTCAAGCAGGTACAACAATCTTCTCTTCAGGTATTTCATATTTGTGTGGCATCTTCTTTCTTTTCTGCTTTAGCATCATTAATTGACATTATCATGTTTGGTAAACAGTATATGATTCCTCTGTTTTGGTTCATGTCTACTTATGTTGCTGCTATCATAGATTCATAGCTTTTTATGGGTATGTGGTTTAAGGATTTATAATCCATTTTGCTTGAAATTCTCATAATCTTAGTCTGGATTAATGAGTTCATCTAACTGAAGATATGTTTTTTTGAGTTTGCTAAGTATTCTGTCTCTACAAAGCTTTTCTGATGTCTGGTCTGGTTGAAGAAACTGAGAAAATCTGCAAATGTGAATGATTTTCGGTGTTTACTTGCTGTAAGTGGTACTAAATACTAATGATGGCTGCAATATTATTAAATTGACAAAAGCTACTTTTTTGTGTGTGAATAAAGTAAAGAATTACCTTTTCAGGTCATGTCCGTTGGCCATCTTTTGAATTGTTATTTCTAATGATATTTTCATATGTCTTTCTTGTTTTCTTTCTGAAGGGGGTGTGATGGATGTTACAGGAAATAGTGCTGTCAATGTTTTTGAGATTAATGATGAGGAGTCTGTTGACATTTCAATGGGTATTGATACAACTACTGAAAATACAGAAGATAAAGAGTTAAGCCCTACAAAGAAAAAGGTTAGAGTTAATGTGGGTAGGCGTAAACTAAGATCTCCTGCTTGGGAATCATTTGATTTATTGCCTATGGGTGAAGATAAAAAAAAGCGTGCTAAATGTAAAAGTTGTGGGATTATATATGCATGTGATAGTAGGTATGGTACAGGAAATTTGTTGAATCATGCTAAAAATTGCCTTAAGAAGTCACATGGTGATGTGAAACAATTACTTATGTCATCCTCAGGATTGCGTTCCCCGCAATTTGATCATGTGAAATTTCGTGATTTGTTAATAGAGGCGATCATCAAGCATAATTTGCCTTTTAGCTTTGTTGAATATGACTCCATAAGGGCTTTATTTGCATATATCTCTCATGATATTAAGCTGCCATGTAGAAACACCGTTAAGGCATGCGTGTTGAGGATGTTTAAAAGTGAAAAACAGAAACTTCATAGTTTGTTAAGCTCAGTTCAGGGAAGAATTTGTTTAACTTCATATTTATGGACCTCTATATGTACTGATGGGTATCTTGCTCTTACTGCTCACTTTGTTGACCAAGATTGGAGATTGAACAAAAGAGTTATAAATTTTTGTCATATGCCTCCTCCACATTCTGGTATTGCATTATCTGAAAAAATCAATACATTGATAACTGAGTGGGGGATTGAGAAGAAGTTGTTTTCTATTACTTTGGATAATGCTTCTGCAAATACTTCTTTTGTTGATATTTTAACGAATCAATTGAACTTTAGAGGTCTTTTGTTGATGAGTGGCAAGTTTTTTCATGTGCGTTGTTGTGCTCACATTTTAAACTTGATAGTCCAAGATGGACTTAAGGAAATTGATTCTTCAGTGATAAAGATCCGTGAGTGCATCAAATATATAAAGGGTTCTGAGGGGAGGAAACAAAAGTTCTATGAATGTGTTTCACAAGTTGGAATAATGGGTAATAAGAGAGGATTGAGACAAGATGTCCCTACTAGATGGAACTCAACTTATACCATGCTTGAGAGTGCACTCTTTTTTCGTCGTGCTTTTATTAATTTAGGGTTGATTGATTCAAATTTCAGTAGTTGTCCTTCTCCCCAAGAGTGGATTAAAATAGAGAAGATTTCCAAGTTTTTGGGGTACTTTTATGATGTTACATGCTTCTTTTCTGGGACAAAGTACCCCACATCAAATTTATTCTTCCCTAAGGTGTTTATAATCCAGCACCAAATTAAGGCAGCCAT